CAGCGTGAGGCAGCAGACCTCATTTTATGCCTGGGTGCTTGTTTCTAGCTCATTAAGAGTTGCCTTAATTGGGGCGCTAATTTGTCAAGAGTGCAAATTGGTCAGCCCCTAGTTAAGCGAAATAATTGGTGCCAGTGATTTGTGAGGCAGAGCAGAAAGACGGGCTTGGGTGACCTCAGCATGGCTGGGTGAACAATGGTGTGAGCCAACTTTAATCTGATCTTTATTCATATCTGGCCTTGCCTTAGAATTTATGCTGCTCCTAGCAATATACAATGCAGCTGTAAAACAAATGGTACACATGCTAAGCAGCGCCGTTTAGTGCTGATGGTGTTACGAGTCCAGTCACATCCTCTCCTGCCCGCACCACCCTGTGATAAACTAATTTTGTGCCCTTCTCCCATACCTTCCTTGCTTTTGGCATGGCTCATTTTTCAGTTTTGAATAAGTTATTTCAAAGCCCATTGGTGACACTCTCTCCCCTCAAAAACCCAGATGAAAAGGGCTAGAGACCTTATTTAAGATTTGTTAGCACTTGGCTTTTCAGCAGGTAGGTGTGTGTGTGTGTGTGTGTGTGTGTGTGTGTGTGTGTGTGTGATGTTTGCATGTTGAGTTTCTGTAGGGCTGGACCTAGAAAGTCCCTGTAATTACTCAGAAGAAGCAGAGAGATGATAAGAGTGTCTTCACATGGTGAAAAACCTTTTAGAAGCCTTAGAGGCCAGCAAGAGAATTGCTCATGCTTGTGTCTCCAATGTCACCTTGGGGACACCATAATATGTGGAATAACGTATTAGCATTGTAACGTCTCCTTTGAGGCCACCCACCCCAGGATGGCAGCACCTTGTTCAGTCAAAGTCAGGAATGAGTGGCTGAAACAGAATTCCCATGTCATGGTTCTGGAGCTCAAGCTTAAGACCTAGGTGTCTGCAAGGTTCCTTCTGAGGTCCACGGAGGAAGTTCTGTTCCACGCCTCTCTTCTGGGGTTGCAGATGGCTGCCTTCATGATCAAGTGGTTTTCTTTCTTGTCTAGGAATCTGTGTCCAAATTTCCCATTTTTATAGAGACAGCAGCACCACCTTGGGTGAGGGCCCACCCTGTGTCTATGAAGAATCCCAAACAAAGTCACATGTTGAGGACGTAGGTAGTTGGCACTGTGGCATATGAACTTGGGAGGAAGATACATTGGGGCTGGTTAAAAATTGGGAGACTCCTCAGGTAAGGCTCAGAGGGGATGTGAGGAAAGAACAATACACAAATATGTTCCAGACAAGAACAAAATTCTCAGACTGACACACTTTTGCCTTGGCACGCATGGTATGAGGCATGTGTGTTAGGGCAGGGCGAGCTACGTCAGCGTAGGAAAAGGAAGAACAACCATGAAGCACAAGCTAAGTCTTAAATTTGTGGAAGGATATAATGCATGAAGGCGCAGCTTGCTGGCTAGAAGGGCCCCGTGGCTGAGAGCACAGGGCTGGAAATGAACGTGGCAGTGCGACTTCCGCCAAGTCTCTTAAGCTCTCAGACTTTTGCCTTTTGATATTTTCATCTCAAATGCACGTGGTATCTGCTTCACAGGGTCCCCCTGAGAAAACCATAGGATAATTCATGTGAAAGTCTCAAGTGCTGTGTGGCTGTGTGTTGTGGTCTCATACAGTCTGCAGGAATGACTGTGACTTCCGGGCTACTAGACTATAGTAGACTCAGTGAAGGCAACTCCCCTGGAGAGTTCCATATTCAAGGTCAAGGGCCTGAGAAGCCACCTGCTGGGCGAGGTGACTGAGGTCTTCTATTCAAAACTCATTAAGAGCCAGGAGCCTTTGGTCTTTGTCACTGTAGGTACACTCGGTCTTTCAGTCACCGTAAGAACTGTCTGAATTGGCCTTTGCACCTGGGAGACCCTGGCAATAGCAAAATTTCCAAGTAGATGGTTGGGTCAACCCTTCAGAGGAGATGCCACTGAGTTATCTGAAAGTCAACTAAGCTCCGTCCAGGTGGTATCTCTGAGTTGTCCTATGATGTGGATGTCTCAGCTGTAGGCATGACCCAGGGTCTGATAGCACCTAGTGAGTCATGTTCCTGCAAAGAGGAAGTCAAAGAAAGACCTGTCTGAGAGAACAAAGTTCTTGGACATAATTCTATCCTTGGCATGGTTTGCTCTGAATCATTTGTGGAAAGGCTTTAACTTGCTGTTCCATTTCCCTGTTTGGAGACAGCTTAGGGGCTGTTGCTTGAGGAGTGGGGCCATCAGAAAGTGGGCGGTGAAAGGAGATATCCAGGCCAGTGTTCAAGTTCTGACTGAGAAAGTGCAGATTGCAGGATGACACACCCTTCCTGGTATTAATCCTTGACTCTTGTAGCTCTCAAAGGCAGATACCCTCACTGCCCGGTGACCCCAACCCATTAGTCCCCAGACTCCATGCTTCTTACGACTTTGTGGCATGGAGGATTGTCCTCAAATATGTCATGACACTCGTTACAAAGATGTGGCAAGTGGTTATTTCTGTTTCTCACAGGAAACGGTCCTGTGAGAGGTAACAGTACATGCAAATGGTAAACTAGTGATTTTTGATCACTATCTGTTTTAACTCCCTGACAATGATAGGAATTCATTTTACTAATGTTGATTTTTTTTTCTGTCATTCAATTTGTGTTTCTTTGCAAGACTCAAGAGTCCAAAAAGGAAAAAAGTCAGTTCAGTGTGAAAGAGGACATATTCCAACTGTTTCTCAACCATTTATAGGACTGCTTTTATCAATAAAGAAAATGAATTGCTGTACTATGCATTAAGATTAGTTTTTAAATCTCAAATTAGTGAATGGTTATTTTATGAGAGTAATATTTATTCTGAAAGCTTATAGATGAGAACAAATCAACAGGCTTTCCATGTTAGACAATGATGAATGCTGTAGGATTTAACAAACATCTATTGAGATCTTAATATATGTGAGCTATGGTATGAAGCACTTTGGGAGGTTAAAAAAGTAACAAGATCTCTACTGCACAGGATTTTATGTTTTAGTAGAGGCAGTAATGCCAATAAATAAAGCATAGACAAAACAATCAATCAAGTAATTATGAATAACAAGAACAGGGAGTTCCAAAGGAGGAGGCCTCTGTCTGGAGTCAAGGATTGATCCCTGAAGAAGGTAGGAGCAGGGCCCAGCTCTGCGATGGCAGATCTGATCTCCTTGTTTTGGGAGTCCCTAGCACATTGAAGAAGTCTGACTCAACATCTGAAAAGGAATGAGGTAGCTGGACCATCACCCTGGTGATGGTGAGCGAGGATGGAGCCCATAACCAGACTTTGTTAGGCAAATTCTTGTGGCTTATTGTCTGTGTCCCAGGCCTGTGGCAGGCGGGAGAGCATTGAGTGTGGGACACAAATCCAGTGATCTGGGCAAAGTGCATAGCGGCCAGGGTGTGGGCAGGGAGTGGTAGATAAGCCCGAGAGAGTTGGCATAGCCTGTGAAGACCCTGGATGGGGAGGAATTTGAAGACTGGGACCCAATGCATCAGTGCTGTTGGTTGTAGGTTGATAACTGTCATGTGGATTTTGTTCATGTTTAAAGGGTAGTTAAGCTTAAGAATACACATCCTCATTATGCTTGAGGGTCCCCTTGATATCTAGGACTCTACACTTATCAGATCCAGGCCCTTAGGTAAAAGGGTGTGATACTGCAGGTAACCACACACCTCCTCCTGTACATTTTAAACCCTAAATGCATAATTAGTTTTAATTTAAAAATAACTAACTTTTAAGGTTAGTTCCAGCTGTTTTCCTTTCTCCTTCCTGTTGGTCTTCTTGACTGTATTATTTTGCTCTATTGCCCACATCCTTTAAACTCTCTTCCTTCCCTCTCATAATTGCCTTTCTAATTTCATGACTTGCCCACACAAATGCATAAGCACATACACATGTATTGCTTTCTTGTTTTGCTTTGTCCTTTTGATACAAGGTTTCTGGAACTCTCTGTGGAGACCAGGCTTCTGCTTGCCTCTGCCTCCCGAGTATGGGGATTAAAGGAGAATACTACCACCATTCAGTGTATTGTGTTTTAAGATTGGGCTTTTGCATATAAGAGAAAACACTCAGCCTTTGTCTTCCAAGTCTGCTGTACTTAGCTTGACATCATGATTTCTAGGCGCCCATTCATGGCAACCTTATTTTGCAGCACCACACTTTCCTTCTGGGATATGTCACCAACTGGAATGCCCCGTTTGTTGTAAATGCCACAGGGATCACTATCATCTTGTCCTGCTTTGGAAATGATAAGAAACAACTTCCTCATTTGTTCAGTGCTGACACACACTCCCATCTACCTCCAACATTTTTTGTCTGTGGCTAGTTGAATCTGCAGATAAGGAGTTTGTGGGTATATGGGGCTGCTTGTACTTCCTCTCATACTACTCCAGAATATGGAAGATTCATAATTTGTTTTCCTAAATCAAATAAGTATTTCTCAATAGTTAAAAAAACATACATTGTTTGTATTTAATTATAGTGAGTTTAATCTAAGAGATTTGGCATGTCTACCAAATTTATTCTATTATAAAAACTAAATTTTAAGCAGTCAAGGAACTAACGAATCTTAGAATTCTAGCTTTTTCTTAAACTGGCCATGGGAAATTAAGAGTGGGTTGTTTAGATGGTGTGTGACAACTGTGCACTCTATAAATGTGTCCACCTGTGTGGCCATGTGTGTGCCTTTGTTACTATCACATCGGTCACACCGACATGAAGAGGGACAGGAAGAAGGTTTGGAGTTTGGAGTTGACCTACCTTGGCAGATGCCCACCCATGCCTCTTCTTACCTAAGGGGCTTTAGGCATTCCTTGGCATTCCAACAACAATTCCTTATTATTCCTTACTTCATGCCTGTTACTATGGCATTTTCCTCATGGGGAAACTGGGGGACAGAGCAGCGAAACTGTTTGCTTATGGTTGGAATAGAGCAACAACGTGGGCAGCATGGCTCTGTGCCAGCGTCTGGCATTTCACGATGACGTTCAGGGTTTCCCAAGCAGGAGGTCTGAAGGTGGTGACACATGTTGTTTCTATCGCCCAGGGCTTTTGTGAGGTTAAACTGGAATAGCATGCTTCTCTTCTCCAGGGCATTTAAAAGTTTTATAACAATTAAAATTTTAAACATTTTTCTATGCTACTGGTATTAGTAATACATGTTCAATGTAGACAACTTAAAATAAATGGAAGGATGAACTAACCCGGTGCCATCCGTAATCCCCAGGTGTAATAATAAAATGGCTTGGAACACTAGTGAAATGAATACATGTTGGCTCCTTGCTTGTTCTTTTAAACTTTATTTATTTTTGACTGTGTTATCATAACAGGCAGCCACATTCCTTTGCAGGCCAAGTGGAAATTTCATTTACATACTGGAATCAGTTAGTCACGACGCATGTCAGGGGTGAAAGTTAAAATTTCTGTGAAATGTGCAGCTTTAAGGAGGGGTGGGAAAATAGTATGTGTTCTTTTGGAGCAATCCAAAGCACAGTCTATAATAGTATTCAGAAGACCGAGGAGGCAGCTGGAGAGAGGTCTCTGAGAGTTGTCAACAGTCTTGGCTCCCCTGCACTTGAGGAATCTCAGGCATTTGCAGCTTTGCACCATGGCAATTCTCTGACCTAGCATCCCAGAATCCACCATTGCACATCTCATCTGTGGGAACCAATAAAATCATAAGGCAAACACAGAGCAAACATGAGTGAAAGAGATACGTTATGCCGCTGATTTGAGACACTCCAGTGAAGTGAGGCCATTACAGAAATGAAATTACAGAGCCCAGTTGGAGATGTTGACAGGTGCAAAGCCATAGACGGGGATAGAGCTGGATGATTGGCCATTCCACACAGGGGAGAGTGGGCCTAGAGGACCCCATTTAGCTGGATTTGTGACAGAATGTCACCCAGATTCTGACTGTTGGGAAGATGTGATTTAACAGTCTGATGACTATCCCCTTTATCTCCAGTTCACTCACAGGAGTCCAAGATGACCTCCGCCCGGCTTTACTCCCTGTGTCTTCTCACACTTTACTTGGTAAGCACAAAGGGGGTCTGGAGGGTATTCTCTGACATCTTTATACTCTATATCACGGAAAGAATGGTTGTCCCCACTTTCTTTTGTATCTTTAAATGTAGCCTATCAAAATTAAGTCGTCATAGAGAATGGATGCGCTATGTTCTCACGTGATGTATCTAACAGAGTGACTACAAGCCCCATGGTTGCCCATCAGCTGAAGGGGACACTTTATCCCAGTTCTTAGGAGGCAATAAACCATATAATGGGCGAGCCTTAGCACGATGTTTGTGGTTTTATTTGTTTATTTTTATGATACCCAAACCCAGGCCCTTGTACATAGACAAGTGTTACACCACTGAGCTACAGCCCTGAGTTTAAACTTGACCCACCCTTCACCTGTGGCCTCTGGCTGAAGAGAAGAATTGCAGTGATGTGTCTATTAGTCTTTGTCACTTCATCTTAACTTTTAAAAAATCATGAAAGCCAGCCACAAAGGCACAAGAAATGATATTTTTCCGCTTTCACCATTGTGTACTCTGTATTTTTATTTTCATAAGTGGCTCGGAGGTTCCTAGTTAAATTTGTCTTTAGTCATGTCTCTTGTGTTGTTGTTACTGTCTCACAGGCTTTGAACATGGAACTAAAAGGAAACTGGCCTCCAGCTACTGAGCTTGGCTAGACAGTATATACCATCCCTGCTTTAATCACAAGGCACCTGAGGTGCAGAAGGTTGTCCAAAATTTCACTGTTTTATGAACCAAGATTTTAGGAGTATTTTTGATTTTATTTTTCCACAAAAGGAAGTATTTAGATTGCCTCACCTAAAACATTGCATCCCTTTTTTTCTGGTATCTCAAAGCAATACACCAAATTTTAAGTCCTCAAAAGCCTCATAGGGCCTGTATAGTTTAACTTTTTTAATGTTTTTATTCACATGCATTACACATGTAATACATTTTAACACATACACGTACTGTCTTTCCATCACTTCTCCATGCCTACCTTTTTCTTTTACATTGTGAAATAGAACCAAACCAAGCTTTCCAAAATCTCCTTCACGATTGAGGAATTCCTAGAATTCTCATAGCCTGGGGGTATGAGCATCCTCATTCGACTCTTGTTCCTCCTGGCTTTTCAAACATCCTTTTCTACCTATATTATCATAGGGGACAGTAAAGTATGAACCAGGTTCTAATTTGAGGCTGCCACTTGCCCACGATAGGAAATGGACTTTAGACTTCAAACCTCAGTTTTCTATCCTTTGGGATGGGTTTAATCTTAGCATTTGACTTATAGGAGCTTTTGGATCAAGGAGCAGCACAGCCTAAGCACTGAATAGATAAGAGCCACGAATATCATGACATTTCAAACGCCCGGCATCTATAACTACATGGACCCTGACCTCCATAATGAAGGTGGTTATTTTAGCTGGCTCTGCAGCCTCAGCACCTAGCACAGAGCTAGGAGTTGGGGTAGAAATGAATTACATGGTTATGAATAAGGAAGCAGCATTGAGATCTAAGAGAGAACGACACTCGGTTGTAATACTTTGGTGATGGTGCCTGGGAAGGCGACTTGCATTTCTCTTTCCTTTCTGGATGAAGGCTGTTTTGTCTTCTCGTCACTTCTACCATGCCATCCATCTCAGCTCTGGCAGTGTGGTTTGGTGACTCATAGTGTACACATTCAATTGGAAACCTTTATAACCCCAATCGTCATATTAATGGGAGGGAGGGCAGATTTGTTGCCCCGATATGAGGATGCAACTTTGAACCCTGGAACTGCCTCTCCTTCCTAGCTTGTCTGTATGTGGAAAACACAGCCTTGCTTGTGAGGTCTGTGGCCTAATGAAGTTTCCACTGGTGTGGGTAATTGCAAGGCTGATTGCTTGCCGGGTGGTCTCAGAGGCAAGCCTTGGAGCTTGCCGGTAGAGCCTCAGAAAAATGCTGCCCTTGTCTTAGACCCACCCACCTTAGTGACACTGGACGCCTATGCCATCCTGCCTTACTTTTCGTAAGTAATGGAGTTGGAGAAGCCGTGACAAGAAGAAAGGGAAAGGCCACAGAGGAAGTCAATCTCAGAGAGGAGGAGGCAGCTAAAAGTCTAGGAAATTATTGTGGAAGGTAAAAATGCTTTTAGCTGCAAATAACAGGAAACTGGGCTTTGGAGCAACTTAAATAAATGGAGGGTTATTTCTCATAGTTAACAGGAAGTCCAAGTGACAATACAGACCAGGAGTGCTTTTCTCTTTGGACCACTATCATTTTAGCTGGTTCGTTTCCTCATAGCCCAGGGTGACTGCCCCAGTTGCTGATAAAAAGCCAATTGCCTCTCAGAGAGCCACAAGGAAGGGTGAAAATCCCAGCCATACCTGTCCTTTCCCACCAGGAAACAAAAGCCTGGCTTCTTTATCTCCCTGCCCATCTCCCCATTCCTGTCGTGAACAAGAAGTATTCCACTCAGCTTCCATGTGCAAGGGAGCCTGGGAAGGGCCCCTCGACTTCCCTACCTGTGTGGGGGGATGCCGCAAAGAGACTAGCAGTGGCTAAGGGCAGCTCTTTGAGGAAACGCCGCACAGAGGGGAGAGAAGACCAAAGTCCCAAGGCCTTCTATTTTGTTTGTTGTCTTTTATCAGACGAGCAGTGTCAACTGGTTCAGTTCCTGTGGCTGAGGTGCAGTTTAGGACCTCTCCCTGTCTCTTGGCCCCTGACTGTTTGGATTACTCCCAGGTGGAAGCATCTTGGTGACAAGCATCCACTTGTTCTCCCTGAAGAAGCAGAAACAGAACTTGCCATTAGCAAGTTCTGTGTGATCCAACTTAACCCAGCTCACCCCACCACACACTGGAGGCCCAGAGAGCACCTAGGGAGGAGACCATGCCAGCAGCCCGAATATGACACTGAATTCTGGTGTTGGGTGTAAGGCTGGCTGCCTCTTTCTCTACCCACTTTACTCTCTGCCCCGGTCTGCCTTCAGGACAGTAGTGACGACAGCCATTGGCTATGGACTGATCTCCAGGGTTGGAATGATGGAAGCCACACCTTCAGGCCCTACAGTAGCCAGCTTCCCTTCCATCATTTTTTCACCCCCCCCATGGGCAATAATGCCTATGGGTTGAAAAGGTTGGTTCCAGAGTTGCAGGTTCAAATCCGGCTTCTGGTTACTCTGTGGGCAAACAGCTTTTCTATATTTTGGTCTCAACAGGGCTTACTGGCACTATACTTCCCCAGTAGGTAGGATCATTGCCAGGATGAAATGTGCTTAGGCCAGATTCCCATGAATACTAGCTTAGCAATTACAAACTTTCCTTACTGGCCTGGATTCCAGTGACCCTGGAGGCTGCTTAGATTTCTAAGGTCTTTGGACTTTAGAACCATGTAGGATATCTGCTTGGAGTAAACACTTCATGATTTTATTATTTTTAAGTGAACATAAATTGCTAGTCAGTTGTGAGTGTACTTTAAGCTTCTCTTAATGTGACACCTCTAGTTTGACTAGAATTTACCATGTGACTACGCGCTAAGGAAGCTTTATGTTAAGCTATCTATCTACATACCCTTCCTTCCCTCCCCAAATTCTGTCTTAGACATGGCTATAAACTTCATTCATGATACTGGGAATGAGGCACAATGCTGTCAGAATATTCAAAGTGATTCCCAAAAGCTGGTGTAGCCATGGATGATTTAGAAGGCAGAGGGGAGGCCACACACTTGTTAAATTAGGTCAAAGCGTTAGGTCCCTGTCTCTCACACCCGTGTTTCATGTGGGTTTCATTCTTGGGAGTTTCCTTTGTGGCATGGGAGTTAAGATACTTCCCATAGGATGGCAGCTCTCATGGTTAAATGAGAAACAGCAATGTGAGGCTCCTGGCAGATTACGTTGACAGGGTAGGAGAGTCTATTGATGAAACTAGACCACTTTCTGCCCTGATCGGGTTTACATTGGTTTTGGCCATTGTTTCTGAAAGTCAAATAAAACCATGAGTGACATGCATGCATTCACAGTAAGTGCTCATTTTCTCTTTCTTTATTAACAGACAAGTGGATATGGCCAAGAAGGGAAGTTCAGCGGCCCCCTGAAGCCCATGACGTTCTCTATTTTTGAAGGCCAAGAACCCAGTCAAGTCATATTCCAGGTAAAGGCTGCCTTTCGTATTTGCCATCGTGACTTCTCCTGCCCCCAGTGGACCTTTGTTCCCAACTCTACTGGACATCAGGGAGTGACACAGAGGCTGGCAGTGCTTGTCACCCGTGACTCTGGGCGCTGAATGGCAGAGGTGGACGGGTGTGGTGCCCCATGAGTTGGACCTGGCATCCTCACACAGGCGTCCTTGACTGTGCCTGTGGCCAGTGCTTCTGTTCCTCTCACAGGGAGTTGGTATTATGGATTTGACACATTAGTCTGTGGGTGGCATTTCACATTCAAATGACAATAACGACCAACTCCAGGAGGTAGAGGGCAAATGACTTAGAGAGAACAGATTATGGCTCATGATGACTTGGCTCCGTTTCTCTGGACCTGTGGTAAGGTAGGGAGTGGTAGAGGAAAGCTGCTTGGCCTGTGGTGGCTGGAAGCAGAGATGGCTGGAAGGGTCCAGATAAGCTATGTGCTGTCCACTGCTGAGGTACTCGCCCAGTGACCCGTTCCTCTCAGTCCCCACTTTCTAAACCCATTCAGCAAGGGAACGCATTAATGAGTTAGTCTACTGATGACGTTCACACCTTTACAATGCAATCCCATCAACAGCATCACCAGCTGGGGACCAGGCCTTCCACACCGGAAACTTTGGGGGCAGGTGATTCATATTCACGCTGTAACCCTGGGGGGGGGGCTGGCTAGGTGCCCAGGAAAAGCAGCAGGGGCTGGGGAGGACACATAGAAAGGGCCAGATAAAGTGGTTCATACCTATAGTGCCGTCACTGGAGAGACAGAGGTGGGACAATCCCAGGGGTTTGCTGGCCCAGCTAGTGTTGCCAAGTCAGTGAGTTCTACACTCAGTGAGAGACTGTCCCAAGGCAGTAAGGCAGAGAGCAACAGGCAAAGGGACCCCGTGCTCTGCACTAGATCCCTGTGTGTGCAGGGACATGTACACTGCACTGCACGCACACACACTCATGTACACGTACTGTTTGTCCCGTGTTATAAAGATGCTTGCATCATTGAAACAATGTGGAGAATAGGAGAGCCTACTGATGTTGAACTCTTGCCACACACACACACACACACACACACACACACACACACACACACGAGAGTGTGCACACAAAACCACATACACATGCACAACATAGCACTGAGGATTAGCCTGAAGGTGGAGTGAGGAGACTCAGCTCCCCAGGGCACTGAAATACCCCGTAAATGCATCAGAGTGTGCAGGCAGAGCATTTTGTCTACAGATCGAGAATGCTCCTCTGTCTTCTCTTCCTACTGCAAGCATCTTTATAACACGGCGGGACAAACAGTAGTGACCTTGGGTGAGAATAGCTAGCTTGGCTCTTGTTCTCAAGGATGCAGTGTTTTCAGTTTTGTGCTATTTTGCTCTCCTTCTGCCTCCTCGGTTCAGGGTCAAGGAGGCCAGCTCATTTCCAACAAGCCTTAGACGACACGAAACAAACATGCTGGGATCTGGGACAGGAACTCTCCTTGCTCCCAGAGTCTGTGTTCAACAAGCTTAAACAGCATATGACAATTCACCAGTACCCTGTACATCACAACAGGCTTGACTTAGTTTCTGGTCAGAAAGAGCTCTCCTTTGGCTGGAAGCTGGGCGGGGCCAGGGGGATGCAGACTAGGAGTCTCCAGCCTACAAGTCTTCCTCATTTCTGGCCCTGCCCAGGAGTCATCTTCACTAATTTCCTACACATACAATACTTTACAATCTGATAAGATGTTTACACACTACACACACACCACACTGAACTGATTACTATACATATCAGCTCACATATTATTTTTGTGATTAAAAGCTGTAAAAGAAAAATTGATTGTCCAAGGAAGATGGTAGTAGGTGAACAGGCAGGTTTCAGCATCTCTGAACTGAGGGAGTGAGTGAGGAGGTACAGAAGGCAGCAGTCATTGGGTCAGCACGGGGAGGATGGTAGCAGTGTTTGTTTAGCAAGACAGTGACGGACCGTTCAGAGCTGAGGATGGAACCCTGTGAACATCAAGTCTGCAGACTGCTGACTCAGCAGACTGGATTGGCCCTTCATTCTGTGTTCACTACTAGGTACCGCTGGTGGCTTTTGGAAAGACATTCCCTACATATGTTCATCAGTGAGCCCGATGAACATGGAAGGCTGAGGGGAAAGAGCGGAAGGAAGGGTCCGGAGACTGCAATAGTTCAGTGGGAAGCATAGGGCACTGCTTAAGGGCAAAAGTGTTGATGCTTCTCCAAATGCATCTGATGAATCCGTTCCCATGTGGTCCTATCACGACTTAGTTCTTCTTAAACATTGTTTTGTTGTTTATTTGTGTGTGAGTGTACATGATGGGGGACAGGCCTGATGACCCGAGCTGATACCAGGAACCCATTTAAAGATGGGAGGAGAGAATCAACCCCACAAGGCATCCTCGGACTACTTGTTGTTGTTTAATGTGGGGTTCTCAATGTGTCACAAAGCTACAGTACCATCACACCATCACATTTCAGGACATTTCACCAGCAACAGGAAGAACCTTGTGCCATCAGCAATCCTTCAGCCCTTCCCTGCCTCAACTCCTGACACCACCATCAGCCTTCAGATTCCCCTACTTAGGCCCTTTCATGGAAATGAAACCATGCTACCCGAGGTCCTCTGCACGGCTTCTCTTATGGATACAGTGTTTTCAGTGTTTATTCAAGTTACAGCATGTGTCTGAACTTCACTCTTTTGAGTGGCTGAATATTGCCTGGCTGTTATACCATGTTGAGAATATTCACTTATCAGCCAATGAATGTTTGTATGTTTTTACTTACAATTGTAAAGGACAAGCTGCTACGGATAACCACTCATGTACAACGCTTTGTAAGAACAACTTTCCTATCCTTTCGGAGAAACCTCAAATTCCAGGCTCACCACTTTTTCCATATGTATGTGTATGTGTGTGTGTATGTGTGAGTATGTGTACATGTACATATATTATACTGATTAGGGTCTCCCCTCTCTCTGCCTCTCCTAATTCCTCCCCACCTCCTCTCCCATACATCCACACCCTTTCTGTCTCATTAGAAAACAAACAGGTGGACCAGGCGGTGATGGTCCATTTTAATCCCAGCACTCAAGAGGTGGATCTCTGTGAGTTCCAGACCAGCCTGGTCTACAGAGTGAGTGCCAGGACAGCCAGGCTACACAAAGAAACCCTGCCTCAAAAAAACCAAAGGATAATAATAAAACAAAATAAGATTAAAAAAAAAATCAAAAACAAACTAACAAATCAGAATTGGAAAAGAGCCCAAGAGAAGGTACAAGAAAGAGACACACTTGTTTTCGCTCCCAGAAATCCCATAAACCCACTGAACTACATCTGTGGGGGGAAAAGAAGAATATTATATACATTTAAAAAAGAGAATAGCCCCGACACCACACTGTGAGACAAGGACCCTCCGAAGATGCCATTGAGTTACTTTTTTGTTGGCCATCTTCTGCTGAGAATGCAGCTTACAGGTTCATTTTATGTTTAACTTTTTGATGATCCACAAAATTCCTCATGGGCAATGAGTCATTTTACATTTCTGTTAGCATTGTCTTCCCGCATCTGCTGCTTTGCTATTCGTGATGTCTTATTTCTTTGTAGTTAAATTGCTTTTCCCGTTGTGCTGGCTGGCTGGTTTTTGTTATCCATGTCAACTTGACACAAGCTAGGGTCCTCTGGATGGGAGGGAGTTAATGGGTAAGACAAGTGAGTGATGAGCAGGGCCAGCTCAAGTGGCCAGTATCACTCCTGGCCAAGAGGTCCTGGAGGTCTAAGAAAGCAGGCTGAGCAAGTCACGGGGAACAAACCATTAGGCTGCACTCCTCCATGGCCTCTGCGTCAGTCCCTGTTTCCAGGTTATAGATGGAAGCTTTTGCCCCACCCCATCCTGCAGCCACTCTGTCCCAAATGAACACACAAAGTTTATACAACTTAAATTAACCCATAATTCTTGTCTATGTTTGGCCACGTGGCTTGGTCCCTTTTCTCAGCAAGGCCTCCTCAGCTTGCTTCCTCTGTGTCCGGCTGGTGACTGTGGCTCTGCCTTCCCCTTCCCAGAATTCTCCATGTCTGGTAGCTCCACCTCTACTTCCTGCCTGGCTATTGACCAATCAGTGTTTTATTCAACCAATAAAAGTGACAAATCTTTACAGTGAGGAAGAGCATACCCCACATCACCAGGTCCCCGCCTTGAGTTTCTGCCTACCTTTGTAGGGAAGTGTAGGCTCCCCAAGCTGCCTTTGATCATGGTGGTTTACCACTGCCACAGAACTTGAGACATCCAAAGACTACTGGTGACTGAATGTGTCTTCATGGCTCTTGTTTCCTTTGGTGAAATGTCTGTTCAGATCGTTGTGCCTTTATTAAGTAGCATTGTCCTATTTTTATTGACAGTACCATATATTTCTCTCGGGGGATCCTCTGTCTTCATCTCTCCACATTCTGCAGGCTCTGCTTTCATTTTGGGGATAGTGACCTTTTAATGCGAGTCTCCGTTTTTTATGTGGTCTAATTGATTTTGTCTTCTGTTCATGGTTTTTCCATCCCAGAAACCACTGCCCCCTTTGAGACAAAGGGGTTGTGTGTGGCTTCCTCTGTGCTCTATAGCTTTATTCCCTACATTTAAGGCTTTGTTCATTTTCAGTTTGTTCTGGAACAGGTTGTGAGGTTGGTCCACCTTCCTCCTTTCGCATTTAGATATCCAGGCACTCCAGCATAAGATTTTGCAAACACTATTATTTTTATTATTATTATTAAATAAAGTTTATTCTACTGCAAAAAATGCCTGTAAATTATAGGTCCACTGCATACATCGCTTTTCTTTTAAAGTTCAGTTTGATAACCCCACTGGACATTATTGTTAGTAACTGCGTTATGCACTTAAATTTATCTTTAAATAATTCGAAGCAGGAAATTTTTAACAGGCACCTTTTAAATAATGTTAATTGACTCCAAAGCCAATTA